TTGGTGGCATCCAGATCGCAGCCCAAGCCCATAGTTCATGAACTAAATTCACCCTCCCCTGGTTCCACCTCACCTGAGCAACCTACAGCCACCGCCCAACCAGCACTGCGAGCACCCATCCTGCTTGTCTTCTTATGTTCTGCACTCATTTTATTTCATTTTTGATCAAAACAATTATCTGAATATTTGTCTCCTCTTTCTTCCATTTGGGCTATACTTCCTTCCAGATCAATGCTTACTCAAGGTGTCCAGGAGCAGAAATATGCAGACTGCAGGGACCAGCTAAGCTTTTAGAGAGGGCTTAATGTTAATCAGTGTCATCAGGGTTGGGCACAGCCATAAAAATAGGAGGGTCTGTGGTCTGGTGGGCAGTGAAATGGCAGACTAGGCAAGAGGGTCCTGCCCAGCAGGGGTGGGGAACATTTTTCTACTAAGGGCCATTTGAATGTTTTAACATCATTTGAAGGCCATACAAAATTATCAGCTTAAAAATTAGCTTGCTAGCCCTGGCTGGTTTGGCTCAGTGGTTGAAGTGTCAGCCTGCAGACTAAAGAGTTGCAAGTCTGATTCTGGTCAAGGGCACATACCTCAGTTGTGGTTTGGGCCCTGGCCCTGGTTGGGGTTGTGAGGGAGGCAACCAATTGATATGTCTCTCTCCATCAATTTCTCTCTCTCTCTGAAGATAAATGAAAAAATATCCTCGGGTGAGGATTTAAGAAAAAAGCTTGCTATATTTGTGCAGGCTAATTTAGTGAGGCGTGTGATGTTAGCTGGTATTGAACATCCCGAAGCCTGGACGTTCCCCACCCCTGTGACTGGAGCATAAGCTCTGTGTAACTGGGACCCTGCCTTGTCTTGTTTATCACCATATCCCAGCACCTCAAACATTGCTTGTGTGTTGTAGGCACTCAGTGCTTATTTGTTGTTGAATAAATAACCTGTAGAAGGCACAGGGTGCTCCTCAGGGCAGGAGAAACCCCCGAGTTAAACCAGTAGTCCCACCCTGGCTTTGTCAGTGTCTCTGGTGTTGAGTGTGGGCCTGTTTCATCTCGCCACTTAGCTTGCCAGCCCCACGTCTTTTCAGAGGACAGAAAATGCAACTGGGACTCAGCAAACACCAATTAGTTCAGGTTGAATTGAACTGGGTTTCCCTCAGTAACTCTTCAAGTTTGTTATGCCTTACAAGGGTCTCCTCTAGTTGAAGAATATTGTTTCCATGTTGGTCAGCATTTGTTTTAAAACTATCCTTTCATTAAAGAAAAATCATAAATTGGATGTTCGCAGCAAAATATGCAGCTTAATAATTAAGACTGAACTGTAGAGCTCATTATATCTTAGAATTTGAAATGAAACCACAGCCTTTTGAAGTTGGTTTCCAGGACACGTTTCATCTTGCTCACTTCCTTTCTTAAAGGAACACACAAGGGTAAATCCTACCAGCTTCTGCGGTAGCCAGTCATCACTATCCTCCAGCTTGCCAAGACAACGTTTGAATTTTTCAGTTGTAATTCAGTGATTATTCTAAGAAAATAAATTTTATTTAGATATACTCAGCCATTGATTTAATATGTTTTTTTTTTTTTTTTTTTTTGACAAAAAAATCAGACTGAGAATTGTTCCAAATATAATCTATTGTTGCTATCTTGACAGGGGTTGAAATTTTGTAAGGCAAAATTATAGCTACTCTTCAACCAGAGTCTAATTTCAAACAGGGTTTCTCAACCTCAGCACTGTTGATGTTTGGAATCAGATGATTTTTATTGCAGAGGTTGTGCTGTTCTACAATGTTGTACAATGTTTAGCAGCATCCTTGGCCCCCACATATTAGATGGTAGTAACACCCTCCCCCCTTCCCTTATGGTAATCAAAAATGTTCCCACACTACCAACTGTCCCCTAGAGGTTAGAGGACAAAATTACTTTGGTGAGAAACATTGATCTAAAATAGTCCTGCCCTGACTAGTTTTGCTCAGTTGGATAAGTGTTGCCCCATGCACCAAAAGGTCACTGGTTTAATTCCTGGTCACCTACAGATTTTGTATCATAGAAATATACACTTTAAACCCCAAAATTACATAAGTAAATAATGTAAAACAGTCCTGGGATCCAACGTGGTGGGACCTTATATTAAGGAGGTCTTTCAATTCTTCAGAAATTTCCCAACTATATCACCATAGTGTGACATAGTAGATTAGGTAGCATTTTTCTGTTTTCTAACAAATACATTTATTTGTGTTCTCTTTCCTTCTCTAACACTAGAGCTATAGTAACTTGTAGACTCCTCAAAGGTAATTACTGTCCTTTTTATTTCCTGGAATTTCATCACAGAAATAAGAATGGTGCTTGGTCTGATGAAAGCATGTGATGCATGTCAACTAACCCCGTAGAAAACTCAGCTAGAAGAATTTCATTTCTGCTTTCAACTGGAAAAATGTAAATGTCATGATTTTTTTCTCTCTTGTTTGTTGTTGTGTTTCCAGTACCTGGAAGAGTATCTGGTACATACCAAGCGCTCAATAAATATGCAATAAATAAATTATATAATTTCCTTTCTAAAAAAAATATTTAATGGGGTACTGACCCATTTTCTAAGGGAGAATATTTAGAATCCTCAGGCTGGGGTTTAAGGCTCTCTTTATTTTGCATTTTCCAATATGTATCTGTGCTTCTCTGCTATACAACTTTATCCCTCTGACCCAAGCTTAGTTACTAACATTTTTCTAAATTCTCATAAACATCTTTGTTAGTGAGCAACTACTCAATTTATTCTCTTTGTTTAGAATGTTTATCAAGCTCTCAACTGAGTCAAATAGTTACAACACACATTTCAAGAATCATCTTATTTCATCTCTCTTAGGTAACATCTGAGTCCATAAACTCATGGGGACCTTTCTTTGCTCAAAGCCTAAGGCTTACTGGTCTGTACCCCTCCCTGTGCATTTTAATTTTATAAGATACAACATCTTCCACTTCACAGTTCTGAATTATCATTTCCATGTGTGCATGTCATCTCTCTCCAAATATGGCAACATTTTTGAAAGCAGGAACAAATGATCATTTTTCAACACCTTAGGGTCTATTAAATGATAGCTTCATAATGAAGGAACACTATTCTGATTAATTCTTTTATTTATTCTTCTATTCAACTAGGATTTTTTTTTTTTTTTTTTTTTTTTTACTGGCCTACTCAGTGCTAGGCATGTGCTAGGCGACAAATATGCTCTCTGTTTTCATGAAGTGTTTAGACCAGTTGGAGAAAACCTGGTATCTAATGTGGTGAGGACTAGATTTAGCATCAGAAGACTTAGGTGTGAATACTAACTTGGCCACTTATGGTTGTGTGATCATTTACACTGTCAGCATCTCAGTGTCCCCATATAGAAAATGGGATGATAATGCTTATTCTGTCTACCTGTCATAATAAAGAAGATCAAACCACATTGCATTTTTTGTGCAAACATTTTCTAAGTAGCTGAATAGGGTGGTTTTCGTTTGTTCACAAATCCTTTGATGGATTTCCCTTCAAGAAGTGGAGTCTAATTCTCCTCTTCTTGAGTATGAGCTGGACATAGTGACTTGCTCCTAACAACAGACAGAATGATTCAAAGGTAATGGTGTGGAATTCTGAAGACTAGATCATAGGCAGTGTGGCTTTTGTCTCGGTCACCCTATTTCTTGAATTATTTGGTCTGGGGGAAGCCAGCTGCCACCTTGTGAGCAGCCCCATGGAAAGGCCCATGTGGTGAGGTACTGGGGCCTCCTGCCAACATGCTCGAGCTTGGAAGTAGAACCCTGTCCCCAGTCAAGATTTCAGATAACTGAAGCCCCGGTCAACAGCTTGACTACAACCTCATGAGACAGCCTGAGCCATTTCATCTGGCTTAGCTGCCGCTAGATTTCTGACCCCTAGAAACCATTTGAGACACTATATATTGTATAAGTTGCTATTTGTTTGGGGTAATTTGTTATGAAGCAAGAGACAAATAATCCACAGAGTACTATAGAGATTTAAGGTATTTTTTGAATATGCTAATATTTGTTCAGTGAAGAATATCATAATCTACTATGGTTTATGGTTGAAGGACAAATTAGAAATGAAAGAAAAAGAAGCTTTAAAAAGAAAATGACAAAACTTAAGAACTAGAGGAATGTCACATGAGTGTATGATCTCTGATGGGAGAGTTGCAGGCATTGCTCACTCTGCCACCGGTGTTTCTGAGAGGTCAGCCTGGGGCAGTGCTGCAGGCTGTGTGCCAGGGCTGCAGGCGGAAGGAGTTGTGCATCCCTACTGCTGCTTCGGTTTTATTCCATTTCCATTTCTCATTTTGAGCGAAAATTAATAGTTTCAATTAAATAAAGAAGGAAAACTTTAGGCTGTGTGGTCTTCATAGACTATACTTTTCTTTTTCTTTTAGTTTTTGGTATTAGAGAAAGTCACCATGGTTCTTCGTTAAACACGAAGGCCATGGAAATGTACAAGCCATTTGCATCAGTGATAACTTCTGAGAGTCAGTGTTTTCCCCCTGCCGGAGAAACGCTGAGCCAGCCCGACCTCCATTAGTAATAATGCCACTGAGAGGCTCAATTCATAGCCCTCACTAGGCAACTTGGTCAAAATTAATTTGAACCAGAACAAGTTTAAATTTAAAATTTTATCTACCTACCTCTGGTCCCTGACAAGTTCTCCATTTATAATCAATTTCTTAAACACCCGGCTGACAAGACAGCTGTGGAGGAGGACTGTCAGTTTAGTAACCTATTTAATAATAAATGCAAAATTTAATTTCTCACTGAATATTTATTTACCCTGATTTTTTCTAGGGCTTCAAGTGATGGGCTTTGGAAGCTGGGCTAATATTGGAAATCATGAAAATGGTATTTAATATGTTTATCTAAAATGTAATAGATCAGAAAAGGTCACAGATGACACACATTTTTTTAAACTTTTTTCATCAGCATGCTTCATTAATAAAAATTAAAACAAAGTGAACACATTCTTACTTGTAGGAGATATGCTGTTGGCCGGAGAAGTTTGGGTGCCAAGGGTGGGTTCTGTAATGCTGGGTGCAGGATCTGTTGGAGGGTTTAGTGAGCCTGAAAGCATGAAGCAGAAATTTATAATGAATAGAAGTATTGTAACAGAAAGATCAAGTATTGACATAGTCTCCTCAAAAAAAACTTTATTCATTTGACACATCATTATTGAGGGCCTTTTGACAGGCAAGGCAGTGGGATGTAGTGGTGAATGACAAAGACCTGGGCTGCCTTTGAGGAACCCACAGCCTAGATTGCAGGTAGGGAGCCAGGCGCTGTTTCTAGCACTGTGGTAGTGGAAGTGCAGGGGGCCATGGGAACGCAAAGGAGAGCACCAACCAAGATTGGGAGGTCAAGGGAAGCCTTCCAGAGAAAGCGACCTTTATCCAAGACCTGAGAAAACAGCTACAGCAGCTAATATTTTGAAGTATTTCAAAAGTAACCACACAGTTTAATAACTGTAAACCCACAAAAATTATTTTATCAGCAAGAGTAGAAACAATAATACAACTATTAGATTGGATGTAGCACCAATGAATCTAAGACTGATGATAGTATATTCTTTCTAAAATGCCTATTTTTGTCATAAAATGTTTGTTTGGCTATACTTGTCTCTCTGTGTGTGGAAGGGGTCTAGGGATGAAAGAGAGGCTGGCATATGTCATTTGACTTATTTTATATCCATGTCAATTTCTTAAAGGCTTCATTATTTTATTGTAAAATATTCCTGTTAACAATACAGAGCAATTTACAAATGCCAGAAGGATCTACTGACTTTAAGAACATGTGGGTGGTCCTGCTGGTGTGGTGCAATAGTTGAGGGTTGACCCATGCACCAAGAGGTTGCTGGTTCAATGCTGAGTCAGGGCATATGCCCAGGTTGTGGGCCCAATCCCTTGTGGGGGGCATGCAGGAGGCGGCCAGTAGATGTTTTCTCTCATTTATGTTTCTATCTCTTTTTCCCTCTCCCTTACTCTCTCTCTAAAATAAAAAAAATAAAAAATAAATAACACGTGGGTGAAACATGGATAAGTGATTTTGAGGCTAGGGGATTTTGAGATTTTCAAGATAAAATGGCATTAGGTGTAGTGTTACATATCTAATGTCAATATTTGGATATTTAATTACAAATTATACTATTGGTTCTATTCTGTAATTTACTTTAAGAGAAAATATATATTATTTAAGTTATGTCACTTGATATCACATAACATATTGGAAAGAATTTCTTATTGTAATCTATGCAATAGATTTTATTCTATTGCATCTATGCATCTATGTTCTTTTCTTATTGGTGGTAATGTTACTGTTGTTGGTTGTAGGTGGCGCTAAAAGCTGCCTCTGACTTGCTATCAGACACATGGTTCCTTGTTATTAATCTCTGAGGGGGGGAGGATAATTATATGGAGAGTATATGAATAGGTTGGCAGAATGACCATCTTGTTCCACCCATGCCATCCCAAATTAGCGTGATGTGCACATTTGATCATGATTTGGCTCCCTATTACATCCCGGCTTCATTTCCTGATGCTGCCTATCATTGTTTACATCTCTCTCAAATCACATTCTTCATCCAACGGGTGATAGTTCAGCCCAGTTTCCCGAACACAATATGCTTTTTATGACTTCTTGATCTTTGTGCATGTTGTTTCTAACACTTTGTCCCCCACACCTCCTGGGATGCGCTCCTCAAACTTAAGCCTAGGAATCTTTATGATGTGTTCGGAGTTGACCCTGCAAAGGCCTTGTTACTCATCAGATATGTCCTTCAAAAGAAGTAATTGTTTTGTTCCTCACTTTGTATTTTTGCATTTTATGCAAGTGGATGATGATTGAATGCCTAGAAATTCCCTCTTAACATTGGAAGAAAGAAGACCAGCTTTAAGCACAGAGCTGACTACTAAGCATCATCTTCCAAAATAATAACCTTAAGCCTCTGGACCATGGACCTGGAAAGTGTATGCGTGGGTGTTTTTCCCTGTACATTGTTCAGAACAGAGGTGGGCAAAATGTGGCCCACCAGTCAAATCCCACTCATTGCCTCTGTTTGTAAACAAAGTTTTATTTGAACAGAGCCATGCCCATTTGTTTATATAAGGAAACAAATTGTCTATATAAGGAAACATATTGTCTATATAAGGAAAATCCGCTGTCTCTGAGAGCTAAAGCAGAGAAATTCTGAGAATATTACAGAGCAGAAGACAGATTTTGTGAAATGAGAGCAGTTTTTGCTGTCTTTTGTTCCCAGAGAAGAGTAACAACGTTGAAAGGCAACCAGATAACAGGCCTCTGGGGTGCTCCCTTTCCTACCTACCCCCAGTCTCCCAGGAACTCTTCACCCTCTGACAAAAGTGATGTGTAGCTTTCAGCATGAAACTTGAGGCCAAAATATATCTTTCTGGTTTCAGATTGGCCTGCAAAGTCAAACAAAACTCAGGGAGTGTAAAATGGAGTGAGCCGTGGCCCGTTTGGCTCAGCAGTTAGAGCGTCGGCCTGAGGACCAAAGAGTCTCGGGTTCACTTCCAGTCAAGGGCACGTACCTCAGTGGCAGTTCAGTCCCGGTCCTGGCTGGGGTCGTGCGGGAGGCAACCAGTCGATGTGTCTCTCTCACATCGATGTTTCTCTCTCTCCCTCCTACTCTATCTGAAGATAAATGGAAAAACATCCTCAGGTGAGGATTAGCGAAAACCTAATAGAAAAAAAGTGTTTTCCAAAACTCAAATGCAGAATTTAGCAAAAATGTGTCAGCCAGTTTTCAGAGCATTGCATGCGTTACATGTTGTCAGGAGTTGAGCTGCTGGCCTAAGGCAACTCTGTTGGTTCCAGAGTGCCTCCACTCGGCAGCAGGCCTGTCAGGCCCTCGGGGCCAGCAGTGAGCAGCAGTGACCGTCTGCCCCTGGGGCAGCTGGGGCAGTTTTAGGGCTTCCTCAGAGCTTAAATCAGCCTTTAGCTGGTCCACCTGGAAATGAACTCCAGCACATGCTAGGTTCTTGCTGCTTAAATGTGGTCCACAGCTTCTCTTAGGAAGTGCAGAATCTCAGGCCTCCTCTATCCGGACTAACTGAATCATAATCTGCATTTTAACAAGGTCCTTGGGTGATTTGTATTTATATTAAAGTTCTTTACTGATATTCTCAGGATCCCCAGGATCAGTCATGAGTATGAGGAACACAACAAGAAGTATTTGCTCGGCACATCCCATCTCAACATTCAACGAGTCGCTCATCCCATTATTGACATATCCCATTTTAATTATCTCTCCACATCCCAAAAGACACATGCACACTCAGACAACTCATTAAGCCTTAACTCTCTTTCTATCCCATAGGTCTTTCCCTTAACTGTTACAGTTGGAAATCCATTTAATAAACAAATCTCTGTCAGGGCTGATGACAGCCAGGATGTTACCCTCTCCAGGGGGTATTCACACTCAACTTTTAGATTAAAACAAAACAAAACATCCTCTCCACCTCAACAAAACAAAACACACTTTGTTTTTTTTAAAACTTTTTCTTTCTTTATTGATTTGAGAGAGAGAGAGGAAAAGAGAAGGAGAGAGAAAGAAAAACATTGATGAGAGAGAACATTGATTGGCCACCTCCTACATGCCCCCCCACTGGGGATTGGGCCCACAACCTGGGCATGTGCCCTGACTAGGAATTGAACCAGTGACCTCTTGGTGCATGGGTTGACACTCAACCACTGAGCCACATCGACTGTGCCAAAACACAGTTTGTATATCCAGAAAATGGACTCTGCAGTGCTATAATTTTAGACATTCTGGTAGGCTAGGCCAGCAGGATAAGATATTTTTCGAAAGAGCTTTTTTAAAAAAAATATTATTGAATCACAGGAATCTGCAGGCCCAAATAGCTGCCCAGATAAACTACCAATCACCCCCACCATGACCCCTTTTCCTTTTTGAGCTTTCTAGCAGAAGAATCACTAAGCATATGAACTTCCTGGGAGACTGGGGGTCAGTGGGGAGGAAAGCACCCAGGGGAGCTATCTGGCAGCCTTCCAACATTATTACTTTTCTCTGGGAACAAAAGGGCAGCAAAAACTGCTCTCCTCTCACGGAATCTCTTTTCTGTACTCTAGTGTTCCCAGAATTCCTCCACTTTGGCACTCAGAGACAGCAGGTTTTCCTTCTGTATTTTCATCTTAATATCTGTCGACAATAGCTCCGCAAGGCAAAGAGTCTTGGACAAGTGAGCAGAAGTTACTCTAGTGTGCATGCCGCCCCTGCTGCACTACCTCAGGAAGAAGCATGTTTGGACACATTTAAGAACTAGAACAAATAGGTAAACATGCGACAGTGATGACATTACAGAGTCTCAACTGCATCTTCTAAATCAGTCACGAAGATCTATGCCAGACTGTGACCAGAATACAAGCTGCCATTTTGGGAAACTGGACTCTTCAAGATTTATTGTCTTTCATATTTTATCACAAAGGATGAAAACTCATTATAAAAATTTAAAAATAACCATCTGCTCAAATCTTAAAATTGTACCAGATCCAGGGCTATCCTGTAATATTGGAATTATCGTGTGCTTTGGGTATCAGAATCAATGCTTTTCCTTATTACCCTAAAATATTCATTATTTTCTAATCTTTTTTTTTCTTTATTGATTTTAGAGAAAGAAGAAGAAAGAGTGAAATAGAAACATTGATGAGAGAAAACATTAATTGGCCGCCTCCTGCATACCCCCGCACTGGAGATCGGGCCCGTAACCTGGGCATGTGCCTGACCAGGAATCGAACCGGCGACCTCTTGGTGCATGGGTCGACGTTCAACCATTGAGCCACACTGACTGGACCTTAATCTTAAAATTAAAAATAATTCAAGAGAATGAGAAGACAAACTACAGACTGGGAGGAAAATATTTGCAAGAGACACATCTGATAGAGGACTGTTATCCAAAACATACAAAGAAATCTTAAAACTCAACAAGAAACTATCTGATTAAACAGTGGGCCAAAAACTAACAGACACCACAGCATATGAAAAGACATGGAGGAGCCCTAATGCATATTACTAAATGAAAAGAAGGTAATCCGAAAAAGCTACATACTGTGTGTGTGTGAATATTTTTAAATTTATCTTTATTGTTGAAAGTATTACAGATGTCCCTCTTCTGCCCTCTCCACTGACACCCCCCTCACCGCTTACCCCTCCCACTCTTCCACCGCCCCAAATTCACCACACTATTGTCTGTGTCCATTGGTTATGCATATATGCCTATAAGTTCTTTGGTTTATCTCTCCCGGACTCCCCCACCCCCTTCTCTCTGAGGTTTGTCAGTCTGTACTCTACTTCATGTCTCTGGATCTATTTTGTTCTTAAGCTTATTGTTCATTAGAGTCCACAAATAAGTAAGATTATGTGCTATTTGTCTTTCTCTGATCAGCTTATTTCACTTAGCCTAATACTCTCCAGGTCCCTCCATGTCATCTCAAAGGGTAAAAGACCTTTCTTTCTTACAGCGGTATAGTATGCCATACTGGATAATTTTTCTTTTCTTTATTGCTTTTAGAGAGAGGAAGGGAGAGGGAGAGAGAGAAGGAAACATCAATGAGAGAGAACATCAATTGGCTGCCTCCTACATGCCCCTGACTGGGGATTTGCCCACAACCTGGGCATGTGCCCTGACCGGGAATCGAACTGGTGGCCTCTTGGTGCATGGGTTGATGCTCAACCACTGAGCCACACCGGCCTGGCCCCATACTGTATAATTTTAAGATAACACTCTGAAAAGGCAAATCTATGGAGATGGTATAAGGAGCTCAGTGCCTGCCGGGGAGTTGGGTGTGGCAGGACAGAGATGAATAGGTGAAGCACAGAGGGTTTTTTGGGCAGTGAGACAATTCTGTACGATACTATAACGATGGGTGCATGTTGTTATACTTTTGTCCAAACCCATCAAATGTACAACACCAAGAATGAATTCTAAGGTAAGCTACGGACTTTGGATAATTATGACGTGTCAATGTAGGGTTCCCAGTTGTAACAAATGCACCATTCTCGTGTATGATATTGATAATGAGGGAGAATATACATGTGTGTGGGGGGAGGGTACATAGGAAATCTCTGGATCTTTCTTTTAATTTTGCTGTGAACCTAAAACTGCTCTAAAATAGAAAGTCTTTAAACAAAAACACAGTTTAACATCACAAAATATTATTTCTTAAACATGGTTCTATGATGGAAATAGGGTTTTCTTTGGAATTTGATGTTGTTTGGTCTTTAGCTCAGGTTGGTAGGTTCTGCCAAAGCTACTGGCAAACCTGTGAGAGAACTGGTTACCTTTACGGTTCCAAGACTGCAGCCTAACTATACCAGCCTTAAGGAAAGAAAGTGCATTCTTTTTTTTTTTATCCTCACCTGAGGACTTTTTTTTTTTCTTTTTTCATTTTTTGTTCAGATAGAGCGGGAGGGAGAGAGAGGAAGAGAGAGAGAGAGAGAGAGAGAGAGAGAGAGAGAGAGAGAGAAACATCAATGTAAAAGGTACACATCGAGTAGCTGCCACCCGCACGACCCAACCAGGGCCAGGGACAAACTGCAACAAGGTACATGCCCTTAGCGGGTCTCTCTGGACCATAGGCCGACACTATAACTGCTGAGCCAAACTGGCCAAGGTGAAAGTGTATTTATTTTTTAAGGAATCAGGCAAAGTTGAATATGGATGTTTCATTGTAAACCAATGACCATTTCTGAATAATTAACTCTCAGTTCACAGAACAATGTGTCTATCTGTCTATCATCTATCTATCTATCATCTATCTATCTATCTATCATCTATCTATAGAGAGAGTTACAGGGATGGTGCTACTGTCCTAGTATCAGATTGGTACTTGTTTCTGAATAGTGGGGAGTAGATTTGCACTGAGCCATCCATATATCTTTGTCCATCCAAGGATCCCAGGAACCAACCACCTGCATTTGTGACGAGACTGATAAAGACCCAAGATGCAGAATGTTGCCTTGAAACCAAGAGAAACTCTTTCCCTCATAAATTATTCTGGTTTTTATGAGTATGTCATGGACTGTAATACCTCTGAAAATAGGAGGATGGTAAAAGATGTTGATGGCCTTGCAGAGTTTATTAATGGCTTGCAAATCTGTTTAAGCTTTGCAGGTATTGCTTTACTATTATATATGCATATTTGACAGTTGCCACTACAAATTTCTGTTTTTTTTTATAAGCAATCTGTTGTCATGGTGTTTGTTGAAACATTTGTTCACATCCTTTATGTAGTAAAATCTCCACTATTTGGTCTGGTAAATCAAATGTTGTAACACATAGCCCTGGCTGGTTTGGCTTAGTGGTTAGAGAGTCAGACCAAGGACCAAAGAGTCTTGGGTTCGATTCCAGTCAAGGGCATGAACTTTGGTTGCAGTTCATCCCCGGCCTTGGTCCAGTCATGTGGGAGGCAACCAGTCAATGTGTCTCTCTCCCATCAATGTTTTTCTCTCTCTCTCCTTCCCTCCCACTCTATCTGAAGATAAATGGAAAAATATGCTCAGGTGAGGATTGAAAAAAAATTATAATACATAGAATGATCCTACATATCAATTTTTTCTTCTTTATTAATATTTTTTAAGAAAGAGAGGAAGGGAGAGGGAGAGAGAGGTAGAAACATCCATGGGAGAGAACATTGATTGGCCACCTCCTGCATGCCCTCCACTGGGGATTTGGCCCACAACCTGGGTACGTGCCCTGACTGAGAATCAAACCGGCAACCTCTTGGTGCAGGGGTCAATGCTCAACCGCTGAGCCACATGGGCTGGGCCTACATATCAATTTTTAAGTCATAAAAATATTCTTTGTGCCAGACTCTGAGCTTTAGATCAGGTACTAAAACCATTAAGATACCGTCCTGATCCTTAAAATATTTATAGCTCATACATGATTTACCCATTGTGCATATACATTTGAATTTTTCCAGTAATTCAGAAGAAATTTTAGGTACTTTTAAAAATTCTTTCTTGGTCATTAATATAGTAGTATTAAATTTTGTTATATGCTAGAGTAACAAAATAAGCAATTAATTAAGAGTTAGTATTAATAAAATTTGCTGTATTCACCCAAAATTTTTGAAAACATTCTTGAATCAGCTTTTTATTTGAAGAAGTTTTTTTTAGTAGCATTTTGTCAAAACATGTTTGCTACTTTTAAATTTAATAATTTTGAGTTGTATAGTGAGACTTTTCCGTGATTAAAATGTCATGGAAATAATGAGTATTCCATTTGTTCCAATTAAAATGTCCTGAACTTATGGCAGTCTTGGCCACGCCTCGCTGACCTTATGAAATAGACAACTCACCAAAGGAAAAAGTGATCTTTTCAGATGAGATATTCCACACTTTATTTCCAGGCCCTGGAGCCCAAGCCATACACCAGATGGTCAGGTTGTCTGACTGGGCTGGTTCATTGCCACGTTCCCTTGTGAAAACAGACTTTATGTCCAAAAATCCACTTTTGTCTTTTCTCTCTTCACGAGGAACATTTGTTTCTACAGGACAAAGAAGAGCAGGGTTAGTCAGTAACATTTCCTGTATGAACCATATGGTGATGCCAAGGCATGGCTGCAGACGGTTGGTCTATGGTAATGGAGTCGAAATAGGTCAAACCGCAGCTCTGGGCAGCGAGGCTGTGTTCCAGCAGCCCTGGCATTAACCAGAACTGGTTTGCTCAGGCTGCTGCCTGGCACTGATCCAAGGTCAAGTGTGAAATATATTGATTAAGAGTGTTACTTTATTTGTAACCATGGGTCCAGGGGGTTTGTGGGCAAGATGGATGGATTGCACCTGGCCTGGGTGAGAAGCTGGGGGCCTCTGCTGTGGAGTCTGGATGCACAGCAGGAATATGCCTAAGTGACTAAGAATCTATAAATGACCTCCGCTGAGACTCCATTTTGGGCTCCTCGCTTCTGACGTGTTCTGTACTGTATCAGTGGCTCCTCTTGCCACAGGTCCTCTTGCAGAGGGAGGACCAAGGAGCCCATGCCCAACCTCACTGGACGCCTTGCCGTGAATATACGTGATGCCGGCAGACCCTTACTTCAACGATGTTGCTGTATTGTACCCTTTTCCTGCAATAAGCTGTAGATTTATAACCATTGTCATTTTGGGTCCTGCGAGTCTTCTTTAGAAATAGAACCCTGTTTAACTGCCACTGTTTGTACAACCTCCAAATGGCAGACAACAGCAGCAGGAATTTCATGTAAAACCATCTGTCACCATAGACCATCACTTTCTGAACTCTCATGGTTTCTTTACATTAAAGGTTCTAAATGCTCTTTCTGCAGTTACTGCTTGCTGAACTCATAGCTCAATGTAATTGTACGCTGGTAGAATTGTGGCCTGATGGCTGGGAGTGTAAGTGGAACTACACAGGAACTTCATTTCTTTAATATAATTTTCTCCTAAATTCAAGCTAGCCTTGTCCAACCCAATAGTGCTGTGACTCACTTGCCTTCTTTCAACCAGATCCTCCGCCTTTGCACAAAATGCATGTCCACTCATTTAATCATTAAGCACTTAGGACATTAAGTTCTGGTCAGCATCAAACTGTCTCAAGAACAAAGCCTCAGGTCTCTCAACCATGAGAACAGAGTTTCTGCCAACTACAGATAACATCTTGACCTCAGTTATGTTTTAGCCCCAGGCTCATAAAAGCAAAACAACCCTACCAAGCACATCCCCATGAAATCAGACAGATCGGCGCCATGGCTGACATCAGGACCTGATGCAAGGGTCAACTGCTCCCCCCTCTAGCTCTGAGGAATCAGTAGAGCCCACGACCTCAGCTCCCTTAGCTACCATGGCTAATGATTTTCCCCCTATATAATTGATCACTTAGAGGCCACTGGAGAGCCAGGTCTTAGGGTACTGGCTCACCTGTGTCTCTGGGTTCAGTGCCAGTTCCCTAAATAAACCTTTACTGTATTTCTTTGCTATGAACTCTCATTCATGTGTTATTGGGCTATGCTGCACATAGTCAAACTAACCCCTTTAGTTTGGCAACATAATGGGCACATCAAATCAGGAGGCCGTATCTATAATGACATTTAACAGATATCATCAAGATTGCACCCTGTCGTCATTGTGGGTGGACTGTTTTTAAAACGAACTAATCACAAAACCAACAGAAGCTTCAAAATGAATCAAGTGGATTAACATGATCAATCATCAACATCGACTTTTAATTTTATCAATTAAAAATATTAATCCCGTAGGAGCCATGTGATTCAGTTACTGTTGAAAATACATTGCACTTTGAGGAAAAATGACTCAGGAGAAAGGAGAGGGGCCATTGTTCCAGGCAGAGGATGCTGGGATAGTTCTGGCAGAGACTGTCTTGCTTATCACCTGTCAAAGTGAAAAATATGGCTTTGTGCAGTCTCACCTGAACTTGTTTTCAATGTGTGTTCCTGCTCCAGGAACTTTTAATCCTCTGGGTGAGCATGTTCCGTGTCACAGAGCCAAGTCCTTTATATGCAATTCCTCCAGCCCCCCCCCCCCAACTTTCACTCCACCCAGGTCCTTACAAGAAAATGTAGAAATCATTTGTTTACTGACTTAAAGCAGTGGTATTAAGTTAATTGAACTAAATAAAATTATTAATAAATGTATGTTGAATTAAACTCTTTTGCCCTCCTATAAGAGATCTGCTTTTACTATTGTGAAATAAAACATTAGTGTTATAAGTATGTTGATGAAGTCAACTGTATTCTTTTCATTCTGGGAAATTGACCCCATCCTTTTGCAGCAGTCAGATGAGCTATCAGAAAGTGCCATCTGGTAGGGAAGATGATGTTTATCCTGAAATGAGAATTATTCATAAATGCCAAGATAAACTTAGGCAACCTCGATTTCTATTGTTCTTTGTTTTCTTTCTTTGCCAAACCCATTTCCGATGATTTTCTTACCTTGTCTTTCACTTTGAGGAAAGCTTGTGTCTATAAACCATGTGAGATTTGCTGTAGGAAATACATTCCTCAGTGAGCAGGTAAATGTTCTCTGTGGATAAAGACAGGACACAGGAAGAATTATTTGCAAATTCAGAAGAAACAAATGCCCCTTATATCTCCACCAACCTTCACAGGAGATATTTTCTCAACTTTTAAAAATTCAGTGTTTACATTTAAGAGGTTGTGTAAAAATTTGAATTATAAATACTTTCTTTTTATAAAGATGTTATAAATTAATGGCTAGAATCCAGGACAAAACTAATGTTGCACATTTGGATTCTTGGTTTTGAAAAAGGAAAATCACAACTCTACACAGGCAGAAAAAACAGTACTAAATGGAAATGAAAGGATAGAAGGAAGAAGCTATAACAGACAGAGGCCAGAGAAGAGTATTCTGTTAGACTAATTGCTACACTTTGGTTGTTTCCATTCCTAAAATAATGTCAAGTGCCATTTGTAGCAGCAAACACAGAAACCTTGTACTATAAATGTCTCACTTTTGACTTATAGAGAGTTTTCCTAATTCATTTTTTATTTTATCATCTTAATACTATAGGATAGGTAGGATATACCTTATTATTACCACTTGACAGATGGGGAAACCAAAGTACAGAATCAAAGAATGGCTAAAGGGAGTGAAATGCAGTTGGCGGCACATTTGGGAACTATGTTAGCCCAACCTCAGTCCAAAATATTTCCTTAATAAAACACATTGTTTTGAAATAAGAGAGAAATAGGCCCAGCTGGTGTGGTTCAGTGGTTGAGCGTCAACCCATGCACCAGGAGGTCGCCGCTTTGATTCCCGGTCAGGGGACATGCCCAGGTTATGGGCCTGATCCCCAGTGGGGGGCATGCAGGAGGCAGCCAATCAGTGTTCTCTCTCATCTATCTCTCTCTCCCTTCCTTTCTCTCTAAATATCAATAAAGAAAGAAATTTTTTAAAAAGAGAGAGGGAAATAGAAGAATAGGTAGTTTATGTTGTACACAATTAGAAAGTTTAGAGGTAGGGTTAGTTATGTTTTATTTTCAACACTGTGTTTATTCTTCATGAGATGGTGGTTTCTTCAATAGCTTGGTGAAAATTTGCAACAAAACTTATTGAATCCTTATAATTTTATTTGAGATACTGCAAAATTATAATTCCATTTATAATTATTTGTTTTCTTATTAAGAGATGTGTGTAGTTTTACATATTACCAGCCCATGTCCTCAGTTCTCAAATATTTTCCAGTTGATGAATATACTCATTAATTAATAAAGAACAGTTAACTGCATGTGACGCTTGGTATGCCAACTTCCCCGTACACTACTAGCCCTAAAGGGTCTGGACCTATAGAGCCGAGGAGCCAAATGTAAGCATACTAAGTTACATTTCTCTGGGGAGATCCGACTGGGGTGCAGTGTGACATCCCTCAGTGTGTCAGTACAAAAATCCAGAGAAAATAATGAGACTTTCAGAGGGAGCTGTTGTGTACCCAAGAAGGTCGGTAGCAAGCAGCGCACACTGCCATTTCCCCACCCTGTCCACACTTGACAGTGGGGACACGTGCAGAGGCAAGAACATAGCTCTGAGAAAGTACTTTGCTTCCTGTCCTAAAAAATCAAAAGGAAAACCAGGCCCCCTAAAAGATATTCTTATTAAGTAAAGGAAGAAAAATTCAGTTTATTTAACTCAATAAAATGCCAAAGATTGATGATTATCTTCAGGTAGTTCATGCAGGGATATAAGAGTTACAGGAAATGAAGCGTTATTTTAGCAATACCTTTAAGAACCCTTATGATTCATTTCTTCCATGCTCAGTAACCCATCAAAAGATGATGATGTGGTAATATTAGTAACAAGTAGAGGTTCCATTATTTTATAAAGGTACTGTCTCACTGAAAAAAAAATCTGTCAACTTAATAAAAATATTTAAAAGATTTAACTCTTGTGGATTCTCTGAATTCAGATTTTATGCAATGATTCAAATTTCAGGTATTCTATACCATCTCCAGACTGTGTCCCAGGATTTTGTTTAGGAATATGGTTCTTATCCTAAAACTCCTCTCGGTCTCTCTAAAATTGAAGAACGGTAGGTAAACTAATTCAAGTTGAAGTCAAACGTCTTAGGAAACATCAACATAGAAAGTTTTGCTGAGCTGTTTTTATTTGGAAATGTCTACTTGGCCCAAATGAGTAAGAAGAAAACATATTAAATTAAAAAAAAAAGAAGGAAGTAAATATGCACAAAAGTCTATGTGCACACATATACTAGCACACAGAGAGACACGTTCCTCCTCTCTACAGTAAAATCATTCACGCACATGCTATGTGCTTGCTGCCTCTGTGAGACCAGCCAAATCATTGATTTCTCCAGCACATTATTCTAAGTCCACCAGGAGGAAGGGAGCAATAGCACAAAGGATTATATGATAAGTGCCAAAACGTATTTGGACAGTTCTGTAGGAGTTCAGAGAAGAGTGAAATCTGAAAATAACTTAGAGAACAGAGTTGTATTTTGTGGACAGGGAAGAGATGGGCCCAGACTCTACAGGTGGTCTCTGTTGGGAAGTCATGGGGACTTCACAAGGATGGACAAGGAAGCACAGGGAAGCCAGCGAATGGTTGGAGTACTATGGGACTGAAGAGTCAAGAAAAACAGATTCAAATCTGTGTTGTAAGACTGATCATTTCCTATTCCTACAGATGAAATACTGAAATGGTGACCATTTGTCAGTTAACCCATATTAGTTTCCCTAAATTTGGACAGAACCTTTTCCAAAGGGCTTTGCAAAGTATCACTTTGAAGACTTTCAGCTCTTTAATCTAGAAAGCAAAATCTTTTTTCAAAAGTTTCCCCCGTCTTTACCAACTCTTCATTCTTGCTTGGAGTTTTTCCTCCCCACCCTACCCCTTTTCTTTTCATTTGAAATTTTACTTTTAGTCTCTACATGTTTTTTACTCTGCCATTGCTATCTTTTTTCTTATAACTCAGTTTTTTCTTCTAAGGACATCTTCTTTAAAATGTTCCTGCTTCTACCCTGCTGGTGTGGCTCAGCAGTTGAACATCATCGACCCATGCACCAAGAGGTCACTGGTTCAATTCCCAGTCAGGGTACATGCCCCGATTATGAGCCAAATCCTCAGTGTGGGGCATGCAGAAGGTGGCTGATTAATGTTCTCTCACATCAATGTTTTTATCTCTCTCCCTCTCCCTTCCTTTCTCTCTAAAACCAATAAAGTAAAAAAAAAAAAAAAAAAAAAAAAAGTTTAATGTTGTTGTTTCCCCTTGGCAGGTTTTTCTTCTTAAATGTATATATTATATACATGTATATTCATTTATACATAATATATATGGAAATATATTTTTTGCTTAAGTTGTGGTTATCCCTTTATTTTACTCCAACAGGGAGTAGAATCCAATAGCATTTCAGCTTTTCCAACTCTAGTTACATAATAGAATAAGCAAACCAAATTTGTTCCTCAATTTGCTATGTTTCTTTGAATTTGGGGGTCTCTTTGATTTGATCTTCCTTTTCCTGTAAGTTCTTTGGCTTTTTACTTACTGACTTTGCATCTATAGTTCCTAAACTGAGACTTTCAGTCTGATAATTGGACAAAATATTTGAAGCCACAGGTGCCCTTGAGGCAAGTGGTTTCTCTGGCCACATTCACTTTCCCCCTGAAATCTCCTTTGCTTGAAAGCCAGATCAGCTAGTCACCTGGAACTAAGACGTGTAGGTGCTGGACTTGCTGTTTTACTACACGACATTTGCCAGGAACATCTTTTTAGTGCTGGAAGGGGTGGAGAAAAAGTTTGCATTTGTGTCTGAGTTGCAAAAAACTCACAGGCAGGGACACACCCACTGGGAAACCAGGCTCTTCCGAAAGTAGGAGGGAACAGGAGCTAGAGGTATCCTCCTCCTGGGGCAGGAGTCAGCTAATAAGTATGCAAGTCACATGGAGCTCTCCTGCTATACCGGAGCCACCAGAGACAAGACCAGAGCCTCCCTGTCTTGTATGTACCCACTGTCGCTGGCCAGTGTTTCCCAGCCGTTTGGGGTTGCAAAGCTTGATGAATCAGGCTCTCATTTGCTTCAGAAATAACCCAGGTAAGGAATCCAAGGTCATGCTGCTTTTAAACTGTAATGTAATTTTCCATTTATTTATGTTTTAATCTAAAAATGGGCTAAGTAAGCTAAACGTCTGGAGTGGGCTGCTGTCAGGAAGACCTTACCAGCTACTGGCTTTGCAGGTGATGGTGCCAGGGAAGCTGAAGTGCGCTGAGCTGCTTGCTGAGGACCACCAGGCAACACTGAGCCTGTGGAGACCTGTTCCACCTGTTTCTCCTCCGTGCATGTCAGCGCCTCCAGCTGAAAACAGCTGAGCCTGCTGCTTGGATTTCTTAGAATTCCAGCCCCAGAGGACCTCTCTAGAAATAAACTGACCTCACATTAGAAACCTTAGTTCCCAGACCCTGGAAGGCTTTGTAGCCGCTGACTGCTTGTGCAACTGTTCCTGGGCAGCGGAGTCTCTCTCACATCTGCATCTGTCATGCTTGCTGCTACCTACGTGGAGAGGGACCTGGTGAAACCCCAGCCCTGGGCGTCCTGAATGGCCTGGAGGCTGAGGCTGCTCCTCCGGCCTCCACACACGCTACAGGTATTGGGAGCACAGAGACAGTGCAAGCAGCTGGGAGAAAAACCTACAGTTTTCAACATTTAAAAACACTGTAGTGGTGGTCGATGTAGACGGAGAACACCGAGTTCACTGAAGAGCTCTGTCATTGTTGCATTAACTTGCCTTGACTTTCTGGCCCAGCCAAGGAGGGGTCAGTACATATCCCAGGCACAGAGGGAAAGTGCAGGGAAGACTTAGAGGTCAGTTTGCTCGGCTGTGACTCACCCTGACCCTCTGGTGAAGCAGAAAGGAGAAACCATTAGGTGTGGTCAGCTTTTGACCACTATTGTGAATCCCCGAAAGGTACCACCGTTTCTTTCCAAATACACAGCTAGCCTTCGTTGTGCTTCGACTGAGACTTTCAGCTCAAGGAGAGCTGTAGGAGAGGAGACATTATGAGGCGGGAAGAGGAAGAAGAGGAGAGAACCATGCTGAAGGCAAAGGAGGACTTACAGGTGAAAGAGGAGGAGGAGACCCCTGAGAGAGGAGAAGTGGTTGGCCCTTCCGCGAGCGCCGTGCCCACCCCAGTGCCCCACAACAAGGGGATCCGGTTTTCTGAAGCATGGGAGTATTTCCACCTGGCCCCTGCTCGAGCTGGGCACCACCCCAACCAATATGCCACTTGCCGACTGTGTGGCAGGCAGGTGAGCCGTGGCCCGGGGGTTAACGTGGGCACCACGGCCCTTTGGAAGCACCTGAAAAGCATGCACAGACTGGAGCTGGAGAAGAGTAGCCAGTGTCAGGCAGGGCAGCGCCGGGACCCAAGGACCCAAGGGCCCCAGCTCCCCATGGGCATCGAGGGCGACTGGGCCAGGCTCCTGGAGCAGGTGGGCACCCTGGCTTTATGGGCCAGCCAAAGAGAAAAGGACCTTCTTAGGAGGGAGAGGGCAGTGGAATGGCGGGAGCGGACTGTGGAGAGGAGAGAGCGAGCCGTGGAGGAGGTGGAGAGGGCCATCCTGCACATGAAGTGGAGGGTGAGGGCCGAGAGGGAGGCCTGCCAGAGGGAGACAGACCAGCTTGCTGCGGCTCACCCCTTCCCTTTTGTTTAGGGAAGAAATCTTCTTTGAAAACACTGACTTTAGACTTGTAGCCAAGAGTCATTTTAGTTCCAGCTTAAACCTAGAGCAAAGTAATTTAGTGGGATTATTTTTAAGAGCCGAGTGCATACGATGGATTCATCTTAGCAGGTCTGAATTAACCAATGGTTATCCACAGGGTTCCTAGTGCTGTACTGATCAAAACTTTAAGATACCTTACTGAATACAGAGGTTGTTTCGCCCGCCTGGGTCTACAAGTTGTTTTGGGGTGGCAGGTACCAGCCTGTCAGCACTGATGAGTGAAAATAATGGGATTTATACCTTGCACTTGGTTTTGATAAAGCTGAAGGTTTTGACAGTTGAGGCTGGTCGAGTAGCTGGAATGTGCCAACGTGACCAGCTCACTGTGAGCGTTCCCCACCATGAGTAGAGCTTAGGCTTCTTGGGGTGTTGGCATGCATACTGGTGGTAATTGGAGAACTGGATACAAAGCTTGTTCTATGGAATCCAGCAGTGAGCCTGAGCCTGAGACCTCCAGACCCACCCAGTGTCTATCTTTCTCCCTTTGTCTCTGTGCTGTCCCACCTGCTTATATTAAAGCTGTTCCATCACTACAACCTGTCTGAACGTTGTCTTTTCAACAACTTAACACTGAAGTAATGAGTGTGTAATTACTGCAGAGAGAATGAAAGATTTTGCAACTCACTTGAATTAAACATTAAGAATAGAGGACATAAAAATTTATCCATAAGTAGGTAAAAGAATGATCTAGTTTCATATGAAGGTCTTAAAGGTGAAGGAGTTAGTGAAGAAGAGATGAAAAGAAACCCAAAAAAGAAAAAGAAAAAGATGGAGAGAACTATGGGTCAGAGGCAGAAAAGTTAAAAAGAAAAAGGGATAGAGAAACATGTGAGGAGAAGAGAAGAGAGGAACTCCCTAGGCAAAAAGAACCATAGAAAGATAAGAGACCATGCCTGTCTGGGAAAGTGGAGGACAAAGAACATTTTCTTAGATTCTGAGGTCAATTTTAATGGGTCAAGTTGCTTTGTTTCCACAGAACACACAGACCACTCGTCCATTTGAGCAGTAGGTTTTAGATTTTATTCCTACCTCTGAAATGCTCACTGCAGATCTATCTACCGTTCTCAGAGTTTTTAAAAATTCTTCATCATTAAATTTTCAGATATGTTTTGAAAAAAGGGAGACTAACAGTCCATAGGAAGAGAAATTCCTTGGGCTGCTGAAATATGCCTAAAATATTAACTCAGGAGTAGTTTTTGTTTTGGATGGTTCCTCTGGTACATATATATATTTTTAAATTTTTTAATTGATTTTTTTAGAGAGAGAGGAAGGGAGAGGGAGAGAGAAATAGAAACATCAATGAGAGAGATCATTGATTGGCCGCCTCCTGCATGCCTCCCACTGAGGATTTGGCCCTCAACCTGGGCATGTGCCCTGACTGGGAATTGAACTGGTGACCTCTGGGTGCATGGGTTAATGCTCATCCACTGAGCCAAACTGACTGGTGAAAGCTGGGAAAGACAAGAGGAGATAAAGACAGTGGTATCTCATTATCTTGTAGATAGCCTAAGCATTTGTATGGGCACTGTGCTCCCTGAAAGATCTGGTATAATAATGCTGAAGATTCTGGTATAATATCCTGGTATAATAATGGTGTCTTGCCTCGTTCAGTCCTCACCTACGTGGCTCCCTCTTCCTGCTTGTTTCTAAACTCCATCAGCTAACAACCAGATCTGTCTTTCCTGTGAGCTGCTGTCGGAACAAACACAAGTTCAAACACCAGGCTTGTGAAAACCCCAGGCTGTACTACAGTCCTGTAATCCCTTTTCCCTAGAAACCTGACTGAGAGGAAAGATTTCACTTCCCACATGTGGTTTACCCACCAGGGTGTGGTTCCCCTCTGAGGGTGTCTCCAACCATGGTGAAATCTCAGCCCTCACCACCGCAACGAGGAGGGTGGCTAGCAGTTTTGTGACCAGACATTTGGACTCAGAGACTTATTGTGCCACAATATGCTAGGGGGAAAAAAAAAAAAAGAGTCAACAATACCTAATCTCTCTCTCTCTCTCTCTCTCTCTCTCTCTCTCTCTCTCTCTCTCTCTGTCTCTCTCTCTCACACACATGCAAATGCACACGCACACGCACACACTTGGAATATTGCTTAAAGGTCAAGGAATCCCCAGAGATTCAGGCTTTTACAAAACCAAAATTAAATAAAATATTAAATTCTGTATCTAGCTATTAAAGCTTCCCTGCTAACTCTGATACATGTTTCTAGCTTGTGGTGTCTGTTTTATAAGGTTCTTACTATTTTCTTTCTTAGGCATTTAAACCCCAACTGCTTTTGTTTCCTATGTTTCATGTTAGGTAGTTTACTTTATATTTTTCTCTCTAAATGTTGTCAAACACAATGAAGATCAAGAGTGACGAAGACAGGACCTACGGAGATGATCGAGTTCAAGCAGTTGAAGTATAAGAAACAGGAACAGAAGGGACATGTGGATTTCGCAGAGGTTGCACTGCTGAGTCAGCTCTGGAATGTTTATGTACCTCTCTTGTGGTTTCTTTTGCTGCATCATCAGAGCTGGGCATAGAGGGTCAGGGGCTCTGGGCTGAGGGGCTCCCTGGCTCAGCATCTTTTGCTCTAATGTAAAAATCTGCTTCATGATGAGGCCCCGAGGTTTAAGCTAAAGGTCCCTTTTCCATCTTAGTTATGAATGAAGGCTCTGTGCCATGTTGGAACCCTAGTGAAACCTCACTCTTGGGAACGCATGCCATCCACAGGTGTGACACTTGGACATCCCTGGCCTGTCTAAGCCTGAGAGGCATCATCATTAGAATAATTCGGGAACTTTTCTATTTTACAGAAAAACTAAATTAACCATAAACGTTATAACTTTATCTAGGAACACTGGACAACACTACTCACGACTGATCAAATGCCTACTGTTCTAACATGGAGTGCTGCTGGTGTAGTGACTGTGTGGCACATAGCAGGTGTTCAACACGTGCATGTTGCCTTAGAAAATTTCTACAGAATGAAGGGAGGGTGTAGACAATTGCCACTGCCCAACACTTATGGTAGCCAGATGGTGGCTACTTTACATACGTTCTCTCATTTGATCCTTATATCACTCTTGTGATGTTGGGATCATTGTCCCTGTTCACTGACAAGGAAGCTAGGAACTGAGATTCCAGGGGCCAGGGTTAACAGCAATGGGTGAGAATTCAACCCAGGTCTATCAGATTTCACAATCTATGTTCTGTTTTTCTTTTTCCTTATTTCATTATCCCACGCTGTCTTCTAGAATCAATCACTTAGTAGATTTATGAATATAAATTCAAAGGAAGGCACGGGTGAAAGAAAGGGAGTGAATAATAAATAGTGGGGAGGAAAGAAATATTCCTGAGACATTTAGTATCTGTCATGTACTTCATTACTGTGCATAAATTTACTTCACCTAAGAACCCTGTGAAATATTTATTATGACCCTAATTTTAGAAATGAGTTAGCTGAAACCCCTGGGGTTTAACTACTTGGTAAGGATATGTAGCTAGTAAGTGGTCAGATGAGGATTTGACATTAGTTCTACCTGCCCCTGGAGCTGGCTCCTTTGATTACACCATGCAGCCTGGATATGGGCATGCTGGGTTCTCATCCCCGCTGGCCCTTTAGCAGTGACTCAGCCAGATGTTCAGACTCTCCAGGCCCCGATTTCTCATCTGTAAAATGACAGATACCCTACTTGTTTTGGAGGCTCGTTGGGAGCATCACCTCATGAAAGCATGTGAAGAGTATTTAAAGAGTTTATGAAAGTACAATGGGGGTTATAAGAATATTAGAGTGAGGGATCATTAACATTTGGAAAGATGTGAAAAGATCCATAGACAATCCATATCCTGTATCTGGTTAGATGAATTTGGTGAGAGTTTATTTACTAATTCCTCAGAAATTTCCCTCTCAGCACCTAGGCAAGTGTGGGTACAGAAGAGGAAGTTTGATAATATGTAAAACAAAGTTCTTTTTAAAAACTGGAACTCTTGGGTCAAATTTTTGTGGTTACATATCTGATTGAGTACATATTACCTATAAACATTGGCACCAAGAACCTAGAAGAAAGCCTTATAAGAAATAAAAACATCTACCAAACATTATACCATTAGACTATTGGTTTTATTGAAATCATTGAAATAAAGTCCACTGATAAAATTGGGAATTAATTGTGGCAGAAATATTGAAAATCTTATTCTATATTATCAGAATTACAATAGCAATTATCTACATGACTAACACATACACAAAATCAGCAAAAGACACAAATACTTGGATAATGCATTTGCATACTCATCTAAAACTATCCCACAGAATCTGAGCTATAATTTGTATTCAACTGTCAAATTATATGACTGATTTCAGCAGGACTAGAAATCATAAGTTATTTAATGTTTCTGTGACTAGAAGAAACTTGAATATGAGTATAATTTTTCTCTCATCCCATTTAATATGAAATATTTGAGAGTTAATGAGTATATTTCTTTTCACTGGAGTTTTAAAAAGTTCGAATGAAATCATAATGCCACAAGATAGCTGATTAACACACGTGATAGTAATATTAGCCAAAAAAAATGTTTATTGAGCAATTAATATATGCCACGCTATATACTAAGAGCTTTTCATACATTATTTCACTTAATTCTTAAAAACAACAACAATGTGCAGATAGTCATCTTATCCCCTTCATGTAAGTGAGAAAACTAACTGCAAGATGTGAAATAATTTGCCCAAGGTCACAGCCAGTGGAAGAGCTAGCAAGTAAGCTCAGATTCCAACAATTAGAGGCTGGGAACCACCTGCTAGGAATGGAAGGCAGAGGGTCTACTTTACCTCCCCTTTTCTCTTACCCTGTCTCCTTCTGCCTAAGAAATAGTCTGGGTTCTGCAGGGGTACATAAGGACAAGTTTCTTCTTGTTAACTTCAAAACAAAAACAATAGGAAAGCTGGTACAGGAAATGGCTTTGAACACATTAAATGTCAGCTGAGCATAAAACTTATTCTTTCACCAGGATTCACACTGCTCTCTGTCCTACTTTTCCTAACTATCTACTTCCATTTTTATTAAAAAGAAATTTAAGCTATTGAGACTATTTTTCCAGGAAATATAAGGATTCAGGGTCACAGATCACATACTCTGAGAGCCCTAAGTCAGAAAGAAAGAATTCCCCTTAGATTTCTAGAATGAATTCAGCTTCCCTTCTTCCCCACCAGAAATTAATTGGCTGAGGGCCAAGGAGTAAGATCCTTTGGAAAAACATTCTGGACAACAGTGTAACCTGACAAATCTTGGCATGTTATACTATAGATTTTCAAAGGCTTTACTGTGACTCACCTTTCCCGAGATATCCATGGAGTTTTTTTCCATAGTCATGGAGATTTCTGGCTTAGCTTAAAAGCAAAGAAAACTCAGTTAGTCGCACGGCATGCCGTCTTACCTGGCTGTTAGTGTGCGTGTGTGTAAGATTCATCATTCTTCAAATATTAAACACCCACCATGTGCCTGGCAGAATGTTAGATTCCTAGGAAACAAAGGTGGGCAAATCATCTTTATTGTCCTGAAAAAGTTATATTTTCATGAAAAATACAGACACATAAACTAGAAATTAGAATACACTGAGATAAGTACCATAATTGAGGACATGTAGGATTTGAAGAAGGCTTTTAAAAGAAGCTTTTAACTCAACCTTGGGGGATAAGAGGAAGCTTTTGGAAGATGCAACATCTAGTTGGTAGTTGAATTGTGGTTGCTAGTGAGTCAAGTGAAATGGGGAATGGGGAGGAGCAGCTGATCCGGAGAGAGAAGAGAGGAATATTCCACATGCCCAAGGGCCTAGAAATATAACATAACTTATAAGCCAATGAGAGGGACAGGAAAAACACTTAATACTTTAGTTGTTTGAAACTAGGAAATATCAGGGACTATTTCAGTGATTTTGTTGTTCTGCTAAATTGTCGGTGCCGCAAAGTCAGACAGTTTTATCCATCTCTTCATCTCAAGCATTTAACAGAGCCCAGTATAAAGTAGGCATTGAGTACATCATGTTGTTTCAAGTAAGTTCTTAAGTACAACAGACAAAGCCTTCCATGAACCAGTAGATAAAATATTAAGACCCTGTCACAGGTGCTTTTAACGCCTGCGAATCCACTTGGCCTTTGCCTCTACTTACTTGCCGGGCAAGAGGCCTCAGTAAGTAGAGGCAAATGTGATTCTCTGTGATTCTCTCCTCAGGATTTATTGGGGTTGTGGGAGCACATTGAGTCCACAAGTAGGGCAAACTAGGAGCCCAAAACAGTTTGTGGCAGTAACAGATGGGGAGTGGGTGGCTAATCCCCCAGCTTCCTTGTCTTCATTTGGGATAACTCTGACGTGTGTTCTCCCAGAGTTCCTCTGGGCATCAAGCTCTTGGCTGACAGCTTGATCGTGTACATTCTATTATTTTCCTTCCCTTCTGATGTTCCTTTTCCTCTTCTTCTGATGTTTCCTAGGATTGCCTCTTAAATAGATGAATTCAACTCAAATCCTTGTCTCAGCATTTCCTTTCAGGGGAACCCAAACCAATATGCAACCCTAAAACATTAATGAGTAGAGGGGTATTTCTGACCTCCTATAACAACAAATACCAGTAGAACGAAGGACCTGAAAGAAAGAACAATGTTGCAGGGGTGGTAGAGATTCTTTTTGAAGCTCAAGCTTAGATTTAGATCTAAGGAGTGGGCGAGAGCAAATCTGTGATGGCCGGTAACTTCCCACTAAGGAAAGGAGAGTTGAAGGAGACTAGGGAGGGGCAGGCAGATGCTGGGCAGGCTTCTAATCCTGACCTGTTAAAAACGAAAGGCATTGTGCTCAGAATGAAGCAATAAGCTGGATCTAGGGCATGTCAAATGGGTCTGTGCTACATTAGAGTATGTATTTTAACGTTTTCATATTTTTATTTTGGGCTTAGTCTATTTGAGGAATCACCAAGGAATGCAGAGTGGGTTCTAAATAAGATGAGCCTTGTACTTTCGTGCCAGGACCACTATCAGGTATGTTCCGATGACACCCACAAATAGGTTCAAGGCAAAATGGGACTATCCTGACACAGCCTAGCTGGCCCATTTGGTAAAGGAGAAAGCCCAGGAAGCACGGAAAATCTAATTCTATCAACAAGCAGGCAGAGTCTCATATTTTTTAAACATTACTGAAAGGAGTTCAAAGAAGAAACAGAAATGTTGAGACAGATGTGCAGACAGACAGGGTGATAAGAGTGAGATGTAAAAGAGTCTATGCATTCAAGACCAAGATTAAGGTATTTTAATGCAGCAAAGAGATACAGGACACAGTTTAACTGTTGACAAGGCAATCGTCAAGTTGAGGCACAAAAACCCTTGGTCAAATGGGACACCGTTTGCTTTATTTAGAATGGATATTTCTTTGCACATGCCGGATGGCTGCCTTCATTGATTTGTTAATAGTAACACCAGATGAGTTGGTTTCATGTTTGTGCTAAGACAGTCACACCTTGGTAAGTGAGCTGAGGGTGATAATCGATAAAAGAGATGAGCAGACTTTTCCAGATCTTTATAGAACATTGTTTAGCCTCCATAAGGAGCCTGATTATTTACTAGCCCATCCATGAGGAGAGGGAGGGAAGGAGAGAGAGGGTAGAGCCAGAGAGGGACACACATAAGAAAAGCTCTAAGCAAAAGGCTTGGTAGTAACTACTCCCATCTTTATGAACTACAGGGCTGCCATTTCCTTCAAGATACTGAATTATGTGATCGCCAATGATAATAATAATAATGCAATAAGATTCTCAGTAAAAAGTAAAAATAAAGACTTTTTTTATGTGTTCTGTCATTCATGACTTAAGATGTGTAAAGTTATTTCCTATTCGTTTACCTCATTTTCAAAAACAACGAATTGCTCATCCACATCACTGCTTTCCGCTTTGCCTTAATTTAAAAGGCTGTTCTTACTCACAAAGAGGAAAAAAGTATTCAAAGCTAGGAGTTTCTGTTTATTAACATTTCCTTGCATCACTGAGCAAAATAGAATTTTCACATTTCCCCCAATTTGGACCCTGCCGAGGCAGAGGCCCTCGCTGCAGGCGCCTTGCGGGAGCTGGGCTGTCTTCCCTCCAGCTGGCCTTGGCAAGGGTGGGGGGTGCCTGCAGAGCTTCTCAGGAGCCGTTTATCATCTGCCTGGTCTCACACCGGCCTTATTCTGTCTTGCTCCAGCAAACAACTCAGCCAATTAGACAACTAAGCAATTATACTTTGGCAGTTATAATTAAAGAGATTCCCAGTATTTTTAGGAAACATTAAAATTGTAAACAAGGGAGTGGTCACCAGGAAACTGACCAATCTGTGGCTCTCTGTGTGATGTCATTCCATTAGCTGAATCATCATGCTTCTACTTCATACCCTCATCCCCACCCCCAACAGGAATGACAGGTACCAAGGTAAACAGAACTCCGGAATAGCTACCTTTGCATGGCTGCACTCCAGGCAGCAGGCTGCTGCTTCTCTAGGGGAAAATTGAGGCAGGTGACATGGGCAGGAGGATGGCAGGGAGTCCAGAAAACAAAAACGCTTACCAAAAACCTTGACCGTGGTGGAACTCCTCAAGATTTTTCCAGGCCTGATCGTAACGTGGCAAGAGAACCTCCGGTCATTATCATGAATTTGGACTGGAGAGAGGTAGAGCCCATAGTCTGCACCTAGCTTGACTCTGTCTTTAAATAATGTGGAGTTGCTGATGGGGTGACCTTGGGTAATAAGTGTTTCCTGAGTTCCATTATCCTCCTGGTGAGAAAAACAATTCCCAGTTATTGAGCACTCAACTGGGCCAGCTCTGGGCTATGTATCACACAAGTATTAATTCATTTATATCTTGTAAAAAGAGAGATTATAGGTAAAGAATTGAAATTAAGAGGTATTTAGTATGTTACCAGACAAAGTATCATTACACTTGACTTTCAGTTAAAAACTACTGTCATCTTCTGCTGATATGAAAAGAAACTTTCTGCTCTTCCGAGAACTTCCCCGTTGGAACCCTCTATAAGCTACATATCTGGGGTGAGATTTGTGGGGCCAGCACTGGGGGCTAATGGCACATCATAATTCTCTTTTTCATGCTCAGAAATCTTAATGCTAAGATATGCTGAGAAAGCTTTATAAATTTTGCTTTTAAAATCTTCAATTGAACTAGATGATTCTAGTTGCCCTCTCTCCCCAGCATTACTTTAGAAAAGGTCTCATTTCAGATCCCCTCAGGGCCAGGACTAGGATGAGGTAAGGAGACTCCTAGGGCACAAAATTTAAGGAGGCACTCACTCTCAGGGTCTCATAAATGCAGGCTGGGCACCTGAGAGTGAGTGCCTCCTTAAATGCTGGCTGTAGGCACTTCCTTTCCTCCTTACCTCATCCTTTTCTTGGTCCTTGACCTTCTGCCCTTACTTCTGCTATTTTCAAAGAGGAAACAAGAAGAGAATGCTGTAAGTGTTAATCTGAACTTTGGAGATCAGAGCTCATTTGGAGTACTTAGTTCCTCTATTCCATACCCTTTCTTCGGTCTGTGAAGAAAAGCCCCCATTATTCTGAGGTCCTACTCAGAATTTCCATGGACATGGTCCTGGGGTGTCACAGTGCTGGTCCATGTCAGTAATTTTACTGAGTAAGGGCCTGATGAGGAAGGGACTCTTGAGGGGCACAAGAGGAGAGGGAGGGTTATCATGTCCTTACATTCTTTTAGTATAACTCAATATTCTCAACTGAGTTGCTTTGAAAATATTCAGATGCGTGACTTCTTCGCTGGAGATAGAACTCAGTGGTTCTGGGGGAGCCCTCAGAGGAGCCAGGGCCGAGAACTACTGGGCTGACCCGAAACAGCACATGAATCTCACGCACAGGGGTCGGGGGACACGGAGGCAGCTAAAGTGGGGAAGAGTGGACAGGAATGCGTCTGGTGGGGAGGAAGTCGTGAAATAACAAAAACAAAGATCTGAGATTTGGAATCTCTAGTTTTAAAAATGTGACCGATTCAGGGTAAAACAAATGGAAGCGGATGAATGAGAGAATTCAAGTATGGGCTAGGAGTGGAAACATGAACGTGGATTTCTTAAGTAGTTTACACAGACAGTTCCAGAATATACTTAGTAGGAACTCTTATGTAAGACAATTCTGTAAGTGGCTACGGGATCAGCTTTGCAAACAGATAAACTCTATATACAGTAGCACCTGCTTAAGACTTACTCCTGAAGCAATGCACATACCTTTATACCCTCATAAAGAAGGGCCTCGGTGTCTATGCTGCCGTTTTCTTAATGAAGAAGCGTACAGAAAATTAAAGGGAGAAAGCTTGTATTCTGGAGACAGGGGTGGCACTTAAGGATTGGATGGCACTTGACTCAGCACGTACAGACAAGGGAGGCCAATAATTAAGGAGTCAGGCTCCCCCTGCAGGTCCTCCAGCACAAGCAGCTTAATTTTCTAGCTCCTGCTTTATGCACAGGGACTGTTTATATGAGGACTGTGGAGGGCAAAATACTTCTTGACATTTAGTAAATGACTGGCCATCTGGAACATTTCCATCTGTCGCTTTGTTGTGGGAAGAAGGGCAGTCAGAGGGCCCGAGGGTGAAGACTGCCGAGGAAAACTAAATTTTCCTTTATTGTGAAGCTGGGTGTGACTAGCCAGGGTGGTTTCATTGGTGGGGGAAAGATATACCAAAAGCAAAACAAACCGGAAAACACAATTTATTCAAAGATCTTTTGTTTATTTGTTTTTCTGGGCAGATGACTTTTCTAGAGGGAAAGGTTTATTCCTTCCTTGGGAAAAATGGGATTCAGTTGCAAAATAGGCCTTGTAACCTACAATATCCAGAGATCCTGAAAGATTCTAGAGTCCTAGTTATAGGAGGACCAAGGCAAGACTGCAAGTGAATGGCTCCCTTCACGGAACAAATGGAAGGAGAGGTGGAAAAACTACTGCAGGCAAACATTGAAATATCTAGAGCTGGGAGAGGGAGAAATAAAATCAGTATCATGTTATGACCAATAATAAAAATGTATGTCCTTATTAGTCATCGCTTAAATTTATTTAGCTCCTACTGTTTTAGGTACTGGGCAAAGTTCTTTCACGTCTTATTTACTGCTTATGACAATCTGGAATGAACTGAGGTTAAGGAACTTGCTCAAAGGTCACACAAAGTAAGTCGCAGCATCAGAAAGCAGGGGTGCCCTGGACCCGGAACAAGCAAGCCTCAGAGACAACACACACCAGTGAAAACCAAACCAGCACCAAACAAAACAGAAACGTGGGGAGGATCAGAAATGAAAAATTTTAAAGAAATTCTAGGAGGCCAGAGGCCTTTATGTGAGTGTAGATCACAGAGGTGTGGGCTCTCTGCTGATTGAAAGGGACCTCGGGAGTCATATACCCTATGGTCCGGGGGTCGGTCATAGACTATACTTCATGTGCTACTCAATAATGATTGGTGAGTGTTTTATTATATTATATCGAATCTTTATTCTTGTCTGTCTTTCTCTCCTTGGTCTTTAAAGAAAACATTTTGACAACTTTTTAATATGAGTAAGTATTTCTATAACTTCATGGACCCCATGATTTAATGGGAAATGTAGATTGAACCAGCATATACCTACACTAGTCCTGGCACTCAATGCATGTTCAATTAATGCGAACTGACTGTCCTGCAGCCTCCCTGATGACCACCATCTACTTTGGGAGTGTTCTTTACCTGCCTGACTACATTGAGGTGTTATGGAGAGTCACAAAACTAACCTTTCAGAGACTAGTTTTTAATACATACTGAGTACAGGAATGTGCTAAGTTGTTAGTTGTGTTACCTAAGTTACACCTCACAATGATACCATGAGGTCGGTGCTATAATAACCCCTTTTATGGTTGAGGTAACTCAAACTTAGGTTAGGCAATATATCCAAGATACAAATTCTGAAACAAAAGAAAAAACATGTACCCTTATATACACTTATCAAAATATCCTTCCATATTTTGTGTATGTGAAAAAAGTTAATGAAACTTCTGTAATTAAGATTGTTTTTAAATGACTACATAAAGCCGTGTAATGCTCAACCTGTTCTCCTCTGTCGACTCTCATACCTGTGCCCGTGGGGGACACAAGGCCGTGAAGGCCCAGGAACCACAGGCTGAGGGGAACACTGTTCCTTGAACATTGAAGTTAGGTCTCAAAACAAACAAGCAAGAGCCTACCTTTATTTAAAATGTTGATATTTTGTTCATCACAGATGTTCCCTACACTTTGTTTTAAAAAACATTTTGCTAATATTTATATTTTGATTACTTATCATTATTATTATCATTATTATTTGGCACTCCCTTAAATTGTGCGCCAAGGAGAGGGCCCTATTTACCCTAATCCAGCACTTAGGTCATACAGTTAGTAAATGACAGAGCCAGGACTTGAAAACAATTTCCCTCCAAAAGTCACGCTGTTGGTGACTTTGCTACATACAACCTCACATGTGTAGTAGAATAAACAGTCCTTACCTTTTCTGCTTAGAATCTATTTGAGAAGAACTATTCACAAGAAAAACAAATACAAAGTCATACCCATAGAAGAGAAATAAACACATAACTAAGTTATGAACAGGAGTGAGATAAGATCATTTGTATGCTGAGGGCTGGCTGGGGTCATAGTGAATCATGAAACACTGCTTCCCTGTGACCCTTGAAAACTTGATAAAGCTGCAAATGATTGGTGGAGGCTTTCCTTTTTTTTTTTTTTTGGTACTAGAATCCGAATTTTCAATCCAGAAAAGGGACCTTGGGATTCTTCAATTTAGTGACATTATTTCATCTCTGGGATGGCACAAGCTCCGTGTCAGAGCTGATGGTATTGAGCACCACATGTGGTGGGTGCTGCCTGCATACAGCTCATTCATTAAGTTCTGGTAACTGTATTGATTGCTCCTTCTTTATCTCCACACTGCTTCTGAGCTCCACCTTTCTCCCATTTATTCTCCACCCAGTCAGTGCTGTCAAAGCAGATGCTTGCAAAGTTCCCTCCCGCGCCAACTCTGAGGGCACCAGAACACTGTTTTCAAATCATCACAATTAGTTGTCAACACTGGGTAGCTTGGCTAGCACTTTAATTCTGATTACGTGAAGACAGTTCGAGTTCACTGTCTTCAGGTTTTCTGAATAGCTCTGCTTCCCATGGGCATGGGAAACCAGTATTGTTCATTAGCAGCATTTGGCTCCTTGTTTAAATATAAAGCATCAAAAGTATTAAAGAACACTATATTGAAAACATAAACATTTTAAAAAACATGAGCATTGAGGTTTTAGTTATATACATTTATTGCTAATATTGAACTGTTTGCTAAAATATTTCTCTCCTTCTTATCATGTTTTAAAGAAAAAAATTATGGGTTTCTCTTTATCTGTCAACTTTGGGAACTAACACACCTCCCCGTCCCCCCCACACACACCAAATTGTACACATGGGTCCCAGGTTTTAGTCTGTCATCTGCAGGCCAACTATTTTGTAATTATTCAGCTCAAACATAACTTTTGAAAGAAGCTTTCCCAGTTCCATCTAGTCAGAATCAAACTATTTTTCCTCTATTTTTTTACGTTTTATCAAAATTGTATTTCATGGTAGGAAATATGTCCAGTAGAGTTTATATCCCTGCAGGACCTAGTACTCAAAACAGATTCGCATATGTTTGTTGGATTGAGTAGACATTTATATTGTGGGAAATCAGGATGATCATTTGCAAAGAAAACAGAATGTTAGGTTGCATGTAGACACTCCCAGAACAAGCCTGCAGAATTTCCCTGACAACTGTATGTTTGTGCCCCGGGATACAAAATGGGGAACATATCACTTGTTCTTTATCTGCCAACGGCATCCCATTTAACATTCATGCATTGTGTAATTTCTTATACATCACCTCACCATTCACTTTGACCCTCAGTGTCCACTGAAGGGTTAACCTTTTGTGTTCACTTAGTTGCCGCTCATGCTAGATCAGTGTTGGATACCCTGCCTGTGGGCGCCTGATGCCTGTCTGCTTCAGTGTTGTAGTCACAATTTAGGAAAGTAATTTCCCAGAGTGCAAAGGATCCATCCCATGTACACATTTAGCACAGCCTTAGTATGGGATCGGATACATATACCAAATAATTTTCTAATGATAACTGAGAATCCTAATAATCTCCATGAGGGTCATAACTGATTTAGTTAGAGTCTATAAAATTCCACATATAGGAAGACATAACTTTTGTTTTCAGTGACCTAGATTAACATAATTTTAGTTTGTAAAATTGTTTCCATTGATTTAATGCAGACTTTAAATGGGAGCATGTGCAGCTTCCTGGAGTTACTGAGTTTGGTATAGCAGGTTTCTGCCCTGCTGAGCTCATCGTCCCCGTCTCTACATTCCATAAAAGCCACATTACATGATGTGTGTGAGAACAACTGGCTTATCATTATGATTGTTATTGCTAGTTTAACAAGAGATTGAAGAGGATATTTACAGTATGTCCTCTGCAGACCTATAACAGTCATGACATGAAGAGCTGCAGTTCATTCCTTACTATGAGGAAATTAGATAATTTTCTACAAGACTTGCTGAATTCTATAGCCGCCAACAGCATGGAGCATGAATGTAAATCAGAGGAACAAATAGATTTTGACATTTAAAAATAGAATGCACAGTAGGAATTTAATTGGCACATTTGCCAATATACTATTCCCTTTGAAGAGAGGTTTCTTTCAAAAAGATACCTCAAGTTGTATTGTGATGCATTCTTCACAGTGACAGTGTGGCTTGAGATTCCAGCGGAAGTTTAGGATTCACTCTCTGTGTGTGACCTCAGGTGCACTCTCTCTGCCTCTCACTTACCCTAAATGTCCTGGCATCAGCCAAAGATGATGTCTATTTAGCCTTCTTACTTTCTTTAAAGAAAATTACTAGATAAGGATGCCTTATCTGTTATCTAGTCACGGACACTTAATGAGCTGCCAGTCATTAACCAAAGAAACACCCAGCATCAATTTAGTGACCATCAATTTAATATGAGGGCAAGGAATAGGACTGTGGTGGAAGGAGACAAAGAGAAGCAGAGCCACTCAATTATTCATTGGGTGCCTGTGTTCTAGGCACCATACCAAATGCTAGGAATTTTTGGAGTGAGTGCTGCAGCTTTTAGCCCTGGAGAAGCTCAGAGTCACACAAAGGACACAGGCCAAGTAAAAGCTTTACATTTGCTTGAAAAAACAAATCACCCACCTGAAAGATAAGATAAAACACTACGGAGCAACTTACTAGCCAGCAACAATCTCCACAGGAAAGGTTTGTTAAACTTTATTATTAGTAAACTTTATTATTCCTATTGTTAGTTGAATTTATGATAATTAGGGTGGAAATATTTTGCCTGTTGGTGGAAAATATTAAAAATGTAAGCAAGATAGCCCTGGTCGGTTTGGCTCAGCGGTTAGAGCATTGACCTGCAGACCAAAGAGTCATGGGTTTGATTCTGGTAAAGGGCATGTACCTTGGTTGCAGTTAGGTCCCCAGCCCTGGTTGGGGTCGTGTGGGAGGCAATCAATCCATGTGTCTCTCTCATGTCCACGTTTTTCTCCCCCCACCCCCTCGTCTCCCACTCTATCTGAAGATAAATGGAAAAAAAAAGTATCCTCAAGAGGATTAAAAAAAATGTAAGCAAGGTATAGAAAGTAAATTTCCATTACTGTAATGTTTGGTTTGTGAGTTTCTACCCTCCTGAAGTCATCTCCACTTTAAAAATTTTTTCTAAGAACCATGTTGTATCACGTTGGTAAAGAACAATTGAGTTGCCCGGCTGGTGTGGCTCAGTGGTTAAATGTCGACCTATGCACCAAGAGGTCACCAGTTCGATTCCTGGTCAGGGCACATGTCCAGGTTGTGAGCCAGATCCCCAGTCGGGGGCATGCAAGAGGCAGCCAATCAATGTTGTCTCTCATCAATGTTTCTATCTCTCTCTTACTCTCCCTTCCTCTCTATCTAAGATAAAAATTTTAAAAAATTTAAAAAAGAAAAGAACAATTGAGTTACATTAACCATAGGCATAATGCCTAGGAAGCCTTATATTTTAGAAACCAAACACTATGAAAGGATAAGAGTGTTTTCTGACAGATGACAAAGAGACATTGTACAATTTAGAACAGTTTGAGAAAGTTATTTTAGAATTTTTTTCTTTTTATTCTACTGACTACCCAAAACATATCCAGACAGTAAAAAAGTATCTGTCGGTTGTATTTGAAGGCCTGCTTGCTGATCAGTTACTTTGGATTTGCTGGATCCCCAGAGAAACCTTTTTATAAGAAGGGTCTAGTTTCCAAGGTAGTTCACAAAAATCAAAGTAACTTGTAATAAGAATGATAAACCATGCAAATATAGTATTTTGTAGACTGCACTAATGATTTTTTTCCCTTACATAACCTATGCCCTGGAAGCCACGGGGAAGCCAGGTCTTTGAGGGTGAGCTGCCTGTGACATGGGGCATGGCGCCATCTCCTTAATAAATCCTTCCTTTCTTGGCTGCAAACTGCTGTTTGCGTCTAATTGGGCTTTGATGTGTGCAGGCAAACGGACCCCTTCCGTCTGGTAGCGTTATCTGATTTAACAGTACTAGAGGTCTATTATGTATATTGGCTAATAGCTGGCTGCCATTTGATTGGCTTGCCTTGGAAAGTTTCTTAGAAAAATCCAGATTTCTGGATTTTTTTTTTTTGAAATCAGAAAACATGGCAATGATGGACCTGCAATCTCTGTGGCCATAATAGAGCTGAGCAGTGGCTGTTTGTAATATAGGTCCTCCGTCTACCACGTACATTTTCCACCTATATTTTATTAGCATTGGACTGTGTTTCCCAATGTAAAGTCATGTTGTATATTTCCCAGGATGATGAGAGTTCTGAGAAAAGGGGGTCTATCCCTTGACATGTGTTGTTTGTAAACAGACATTTGTGAGTAGGGGCTTCTACTGGAAGTGGCTCCTATCCAGGGCACCGATGTCCTCTTTCCTGTGATCAGAGCTTGGTATGTAGCTTGAAATAGAAACTAACCTTTAGAAATAGTGTAATAGACTTAGGGCGTCCTCCCCTCCCAGCCATTCCCCACCTACCACACGACACCTGTCTTTCATCCAGTATGCTTCCTTCCCTATTATTATTTGTTATTCATTTTACTTCATTAATATTTAAAGATCATTGCAGTTATTCACTGGAAAGGGCAACACTTACCACCAACCATGCAAAGGTAAATTCAGATGAAATTTCTGAGGAGATATTTTGAAGACATGGTATTTTCAGAGTCCGATTTATCTCTATTTCCATTGTATTGTTGCTTCTCCATTCATCCAGAGTAACTGTAACAAAACATAAGGTGGAAAAGACATGGATGTGTGATTTGTTTATAAAGTGCTTTTTTTCAAAGAAATGAGAACCATTTTAGCATAAAGATTCATCTATCCTCAGGGTATACCTATGAAGTAAGGAGGCAAAATCCCATTCTAGTCCTTACTGTGTAAATGGTAAAACAAAGCCACTAAGAAAAATTACCAGTGAAAAATTATAGGGAATCTGCCCTAAAAGAATTCAGCTCACAATTTGGCATGTTCTTCTACTTTGCCCCCAAATTTATGCTTCAGTCTTCAGAGTACATTTCCTTAATCAGAAAGAATATAAAACTTTAAAACTTAGCCTCTAAATGTCTTTTTAAATTTTAATAGACTGAATATTTTTAAGTCTGTGAACCTAAAGCAGCAAAATTAATGGAAAGTACAGAGAGTTCCCATATTTCCTGGCCCCGTACCTGCACAACCTCCCCAATGTCAACATCCCTAATCACAGAGGTACTTTTGTTACAATCAATGAACCTATCAAATGACTCATCATTTTCACCCAAACTGCAGAGTTTATTTACCTTAGAGTTCACTCTTGGTCTTGTACAGTCTATATGTTTTGACACATGCATAATGACATATGTTTATCATTGTAATATCATACAGAACAACTTCACTGCCCTAAAAATTGACTTTCTCTGCCTAGTCATGCGTCCCTCCCAACAAACACCTGTTCACCATTGATCCATTGATCTTTTTCCTGTCTTCATAACTGTCTTTATAGAGCTCATAAACATACCTTTAAAGAAAACATAATACAGAAAAATATATAAGGAGAGTCTGAAGAAACATTATTAATAAATTAGTTGCATTTTTAAAGTGATATGAGATAAATCTCTGTATATAGTCTTTTTGTGGTGAAAGTTTTATACACTACAGTATATCCATTTTTTTATTAAACTATAACATCAGATATTAATGTATAATAAAAACCACTCTATCACCCTAATATCCTGAAAACTTTATTTTTATATCTATACAAATCTATTTTGTATGCATGTGCTTCTCATACTTAACAATCTTATTAATCAACAAATGTTACCTATGATTTTTACTTAAAAATGTTTTGCATGATTCTTAAACTATTTGTGGCTGAAATTTTTAGAGGCTTTATGTCATTCCATCGTATATGCCCATTATCATTTGTTTAGTCATATCCAATTATTGAATGATTATACTCTTTCTGTTTGGGTTTTTACTTTATTTAAACTATTACAATCTGTATAACAAAGATCATCCTTATGCTAGTGGCTTTCTTCTGATCATTCAGTTACTTAAGAAAAATTCTTAAGAGTATGATTAATGAATCATGAGTATGAAAATTCTCATTATTATCAACAATATATATATTTAAAGTGAAAGATTTCTCTGTTTTAGAATGTTGTATCTATCTAGCCTTTAGGACTTTGTTTTATTTTAATCTCTCATAAGCTCCAGCTATTCTTTTTACTCTTCCCTCCTCCTATCCTTAATTGCAACCAGGCCTTTCCGTCAGGGAACATCTTCCCTGCCTCATTCTCAAATAGTAGTTGTTTATTTTCTTGTACCATCATTTCCTCAAGATTGGAAGGTAGGACCAGTGCCTTCCTTGTTCTCCACAGCTACTTCCAAGTACTACTCCAACCACATAACTTTAAAAAATAGTTGTCTTTTATGGTTAAAGACATTTAGCTATAACAGTACTTTTAAAGGGAGTTGTTTGTATACCACCAACACAAATTTTTGCATATTTACATACCACTATTACTACTATTTAACTTTATTCTTGAAATTATTGCAATTGTTTTACCTACATACTTTTATTTTAAACAAACAATTATCTAGGTACTAATATTTGTGAAGTCTATAAAATCCACTTTATATGTCAATTATATTTTGTACATTACCCAAATACATAAGTATTATATTTTTGTAAATTTTGTCCAGATTCTGAAGCCACCATCAAAGGATTAAAAATATATCAACAAACAATACCTTAAAAATATAATATCAGAAATTAAGAAGCATTTTGATGGGATTGCAAATGTATTAGACATCACAAAAGATGGATTCATAAGTTGGAAAGTAGGTCATTAGGGAATTTCTAAAGTGAATCATAGAAAAGATAAAAGTAGCAACTATAGAAAAAACCATTAGGCATGTATATACATTTAGAAACATTTTTTTTTTTTACACTAGAAACTTAACATCACAAATTTAAATGTTAATTAAAAAAACATGCAAGTGCTAGAAAAAACATTACTGAATTTCTATGTAATCTGAAAATAGGAGAAACTTTTCTAACTATGATTCAGAATCAAGACCAACAGGAAAAAAGAGTGATAGATTTTATTTCATAAAACTAAAAATTATTCTGCACTGGAAATATTATCATAAGAAAGTAAGAATAGATCACAAACTGGGAAAATATTTGCAACTTATATCACAAAGGGTTAATAGATTTTTTATATGGGGCATTTTCAGCATAATAAAAAATAATAGCCATAGTTAATCAAAACTCATTAATGTGTTTAAAATTATGTGAATTCATGACATTTAACATATTGTCACTTAAGAGTGCTAGAGAACCAATATTTTTTATGACTGGTAGGTAAGAGAAAGGATCAAGCAAGTGTCTCTTCTCTTTTTCTTATACAAACTGTACATCACATAAGTAATTGGTATATGAGAAGAAGTTTCTTTAGAGGAATATTTCAGCTAATAAATGAAGAAATGATAGATTTAGAACATCTATTTGCAATCCATAATGAGCTAATGGATCTAGGTAATATTCATCAGTGGCTGCTTATATCACATGGCCAGATATTATGTACCTCTGATGTATATCTATGATGTACTCTTGCCAAAAAACAAAATTCAAAAACCAAAACCTTAATGTGATCAAATCCCTGTATCTAACAAAAAGGTGAAAGAGAAACATGTAAATACCATGGTGATAACAGGCTGTAGATAATCAAATTTACTCAACAGATACATTACAAAAGAAAAATAGAAAATGTAAAATAGCCTTCAGATTAAATATATTTATTAAATAAATAATAATACATTGAGCTTATTTGGATCCTAATTGAAAGAAAATGTAAAATTAAAATTATGAAGTCAACTGGATATTTGAGGACATTAAGAACTTACTAGTTTTTTTAGTTCTGATAGTGGTATAATGGCTATATTTTCCTCCCCCCCCAACTCTCTCCTCCACTCCCCACCCCAACACACCTTGATCTTCTAAAAATTTATTCTAAAATAAATAGAATATCTTGGATTTTTTTCAAAGTAATCTGTGAGGGGGCAGTTGATAAGAGTTAAATAAAATGAAATTGCCTATGAACTGATAATTGTTCAAGTTGTATGATTAGTACATGAAAGCTCAAGATACTATTATATATAATTTTGTATATGTTTGAAATTTTTTACAATTAGGAGTTTCTAAGTTTTTTTCATTAATCCCTTAAAATCACCTCAGGTACTACCAGCTATGTAACACAATTTGAGAAAAACTGAACAATCCCTTTTCCACCCAATTCATGCCTATTATCCAAGGTTGTAAAACAATGGCTTGTGGTACTTCACACAGCTCTAATCCAGCCCACTCTTCCTCTGCAGGAGCCCAACGTGAGTGGCTGTAGCTGATTTAGTGCACTGATCCTTCAGGTGGGTGCCCGTGTTCCCACCCATGCTCCTTAAACTATTCCAAAAATCTAAGAAGATGGAAGACTTCCAAACTTATTTTATGAGGCCAGGATAGTTCTAATTCCAAAACCAGATAAAGACACTACAAAAAAAGAAAACTACAGGCCAATATTCCTGATGAACACAGATGCTGAAATCCTTAACAAAATATTAGCAAATCAGATCCAGCAATAAATCAAAAAAACTTATTTACCATGACCAAGTGGCATTCATCCCAGGAATGCAAGGCTGGTACAATATTTACAAATCAATAAATATGATACATCACATAAACAAAATGAAAGATGAAAACCATATGATTATATCAAAAGATGCTGAAAAAGCATTCGACAAAACCCAGCACCCATTTCTGATAAAAATGCTCAGCAATGTGGGAAAAAGGGATCATATCTTGACATAATAAAGTCCATTTATAAAAAACCTACAGCCAACATCATACTCAATGGGCAGAAAAATAAGTATTTGACCTAAGAATAGGAACCAGACAGGGATGCCCACTTTTACTACTCTTAGTTAACATAGTACTGAAAGTCTTAGCTACAGCAATTAGACATGAAGAAAACATAAAAAGAATCCAAATTGGAAAGGAAGAAGTGAAACTGTCATTATTTGCAGATGACATGATACTTTACATAGAAAACCCTAAAGACACCATCAAAAATCTACTTGAGTTAAAAATTAATTTGGCGGAGAGAGGAAAAATGGCGGCGGAGTGAACGGAGCTACACAGACCATCTCCCAGAACCAAACTGGAATTACAACTATAACACAGACAAAGAGACGGGAAAAACCAACAGAAAAGCAGCTTGCGAGGACCATACAATGAGGGACACTGACTCCATCCCGGTAGGCTTGCGAAGGCACGAGACGTGTGCTGGGAGCCCACGGTCGGCAGCTTGGCAGCGGCCTTAGCTGGGAGCAGCGCCCTCGAGTTACACTCCCAGGCGGCTCCACAGCGCAGCCGGGACAGAGGCTGAAACAGCCACAGCCACTCACCTTGGGCTCTGGCAGAGGGAGGGTGGACTGGACTGGAACTGTGTCGGGACACTCGGGATTTGGAGGGCGCTCAGAGCTTTGGCTGAGTGCAGCCACTCAGGACGGTGGCCACATTGCTCCTTCCCAGGGCTCTGAGGAGAGGCAGCAGCCCCTCCCTCGGAGATCCAACCCCACCCAGTGGGCCATTGAAGTGCTAATTGAGGCTCACTAACAACCAGCATCTCCCCCACCCTCATGAAAGCACCTTGGCTGAGCACCAGAGGGAGTTTTTCAATCAA